GCCTGTGGTCACTATGGAGACTCCAGGGCCTCAAGCGGAAGAGAGGGCCTCTCCTCCAGCCTGCAGAGGAAACAGGCCTTCAAACTCTAGTGTTTATTTATTGGTGTTGTTGTTCCAGACCAGGGGCATAAGAATGTGAATGAAGCTCTATGTCCACCCATGTCCGTCCTCCCACCCCGCCCCGCCACTTCACTACGGCCGGATCACTCCCTCTGTCCCTCGTGGGCCGTGGGGTGGGGTGAGGGGGTGGGCCTTCTCCCCTCACCTTCCCGTTGCCACGGATTGGCCCAGCAGTCGTGATGATCTGTTTTCTTTCCTCACACTCCCAAGGGTGCTAAGCCTTCTGCTGGCCCTCTTCCGTTTCTTTTCTTCTTCTTCCTTTGGCATTGCTGCTACAGAGGGGTGCCCGGTGGCACCTCAGGATTTCCCGAAGGGGGTTGTCACTCAAAGCCCATTTTCCTCTCTCTCTCTCTCTCTGCCCTCTCCCAGCGCCTGTTTTCAACCCGTGTGAGGAAAGGGGCTGATAGGCGTGGGTTTAGTTTTCCTTCCTCTGCTCTGAATTCCCAACTCATCAAGGGGAGTGAGAAGAGAAACGCTGAATAAAGAGCCATGCCACCTCCCTTTGCCCGCCGTGCAACTTTGCCTGTCACGGCTGAACCCCACACCGCTGTGAGTTGGGGAAGCCTGTATACCCAGCTGCTCTGCCTTTACTCATAAGCAGCTGCATCTTGGCACAAATAAGGAACCCGTTTTAAAAAACAGCTTCTCCTCTGAGTTGCAATTCCCTTTTCCTCCAAGGCAAAGAGCCTGGGATTACAATGTGACAAAATGGAAGGGGGGTTGTGAGGGAATTTCCCCCAAACCCTCAGTGCAGAGGTGAAGCTATCATAGTAGATAAATGACAGATCTGGTTCATGGGGTGGGGGGAATGAAGCTATCCTGGTGGGGCATGGGGGCCTTTTACATTTCCCTCCCTTCAAGAGTAGCAGGGAGTGGGGATCACAGGTCTGAGATGCTCTGATTGGAAGGGGGAGATCTCAGCCTTCAGTGGGCAATCGAACTCTGGACTTTTACAATATGGCACACAGATTCCCCTCCCTCCAAGACTAATGTAATATAAGAGTTGTATTTTCTGTGTATATCTGTGCTGTGGAATCTTGTGTAAATTGAATTTCTTTTTCGACCGCCGTTACAAGTTCTCTGTTAATTTAACAATGTGTCCTGTTTCCCCCCACCCCTCTCCCCTGCACGCCCATAATTTTCATTTGATGTTTATATTTTCTGCCTTTTTTATTTTTAATGTATTTTTTCCTGGGGAAGGTGTGCGGGGGTGAGGGGCATACCAAAGGGGGTTGTTTTGCATGAAAACTGGGGTGGGGAGGGAGAAAAAATACAATCTTGGGGGGAAAAAGTTCTATCAGGGAGATTGTGAGGGGCAAGCCAGAAGCTGAGGTGTAGGAGAAGAAACCTCATACTTTTCCCCTCAGCTCTGGTTTGCCTCAAGGTGAGGGGGAGAGGGAAGGGCAGAAGCAGAGTGAGTGGCAAGAGCTGTTTAAAAAAAGAAAAGAAAAAGAAAAAAGTTTGAAAAACATTTTCAAAGATCTGCAGATTTTTGTTTAATTCAGAGGAAGCACAAAAAGAAATGGCTAGAAGTGGATTGCACCTCACAGGGGCTTGGGAGATGAGTTTGCTGAATGTCTTCACAATGTGATCAAGAAGACTGAGTCCCAAAGGGAAGGGAAGTGGCATTCCAGAGGAAAGGGGGCCCCACTTATTGGGGGGGGGGTATTAGTCGTACTCCAGAGACTGAGGTGGTGGTATAGCAGTCTACTAAAAGGCAGGAAAAAATAAGATGGCAGATAGAAGGAACGAGCCATGGTTTCAAACGTCTGTATATGGACACAGAGCATGGGAAACACATACAATCACTGGAACCCTTAACACAGGAAAACAACTATTATGTGACTAGAATGCTGTTTTTTAAGGATGCAACTTATTCAGAAAGGAGAGCTTAAACAGGAAGGGAGAAAGAGCAGTATTATACCTAATATATCTGTACACCTATTAGGATATCCATTATGTGAAACATTAAGGGTCCTGGAGACTATTTAGATAAAAATCAAAGGAGAGTAGAAATCAGTGGCATGACTAAGGTGGTCTGCCACAGACCTCCAAGCCATATTTAAGACTTGTGATAATAACATTCAGTGGAGAGAGACATAGTAATAATAGGAGACTTCAGTTACCCTGATATTTGTTGAAAGTTCAGTTTTGCAGAGGGCCAAATTCCTCCCTTGGCTTGCTGGCAATTTCATCTTCCAGGCAAAAGGATCAACTATCCTGGACCTAATCCTCACCAACAGGGAATAATTGGTCAGTGGGAATATTAGGTGGAAGTGCTCACATCCACTTGAGTTTCATTTTGCTAAGAAAATGGAAAGCTGCACCTAGTCTCATGATTTATTGAAGTAAATTTATAGAAATGCCAAGCAAGAGTACTTGAAAGAGTTCAGAGTTCACAATGGGTAGAAGTTTCTTAAGGATGACATGCTGATAATACAATAATCACAGACAATTCAAAGGGGAAAGAATAGAAATGTCACAGACTGACTTGGCTGTATAAGGAACTGAGCTTTAAAAGTGGAATATATTGTAGGAAATGGAAGTAAGGGCTTATCACTGAGGAAGAACACAAAGGAATAGCCAGCAGTCCTTGACTGTAATGCTTGTAGGGAGATCAGGAAGGCTAAAGCTCAGAATGAGCTCAAGCCTGCGAGAGAGGTAAAAAATAACAAACGTGGATTTTCAACTATGCTTGGAGCAAGAGAAGATCAAGGAAGAGGATGGTCTGCTGCGTGGAGAAATACTAATAGGTAAAAGAAGGAATGTGGAATTGCTCAATGCCTGCTTTGGCTCATACCATCCCAAGAGCCAGCATAGATATCTCAGAACATCTTATCTCATTCTCTCTTTCTTGGTTTATTTGACAAAGTAACAAGCATGGTAGTGCAGAGGAATGCTGTGAATGGAGTGTACCTGCATTGTAGAGGGCTTCTAACTAAGTCTCCTGTATTCTTGTAAAGGGATGTGGTGGCACTGTGGGTTAAACTGCAGAAGTCTCTGTGCTGCAAGGTCAGAAGACCAGCAGTCGTAAGATCAAATCCACACGATGGAATGAGCTCTCATCACTTGTCCCAGCTCCTGCAAACCTAGCAGTTCGAAAGCATGTAAAAATTAAAGTAGATAAATAGGTACCACCTCTATGGGAAGGTAACGGTGTTCTGTGTCTAGTTGCGCTGCCCCCTTGACCACAGAAATTGTCTTCGGACAAACGCTGGCTCTATGGCTTGGAAACAGGGATGAGCACCGCGCCCTAGAGTCGGACACAACTGAACTAAATGTCAAGGGGAACCTTTACCTTTTATTCTTGTAAACAAGTTGGTAATCCAATAGCTAGACAATCCTACTGTTTAGTGGATTTGGAGTTCATTGAGAGATCATGCCCAAGGACGGCTTGCCAATGTTTCTTCTTCCTGGAGAGAAGTAACAAGTGGTGTGCTACAAAAAGTAAAGACTGGGTGGTGATACAATAGTTCAAATATTTGAATGGCTGTCATGAAAAATGAAGCAAGCTCCTCTCCCACCCATTTACTCTGTAGGGTAAGAAGTGAACCAATGAATTAAACTTACTAGAAAGAATATATGACTAAACATTATGAAGAACTTTTTGACTCTGAGAGGTGCTTGGCACAGGAATGTACTGCTTCAGAAGGTGGTGGACTCTTATTTCATTGAAGGTTTTTTAAAAAGGTTAGAAAGTCAGCTGACATTATTTAGCTGTGGATTTTTTTATGCATCTTTAATAATTGGACTCAATTACTCTTGGGTTTTTCTAACTCTGCACTTCCGCGATTCTAAATGAAATATAGCTAAAGGGTCTCTCTCTTTTATCCAATGTTAGTTTTCCTGTCATATATTTTGACAACCTTAATTCTGTAGGCTTTTGAGACCAAATTCTGAGGAAGAACAAAATGCTGATTAAAGCTTAATCCCTGGACATCACCCACTGTTGGCCTCTGTTGCACCCACTACATTTTGTTGTCCCTGTACATTTGCCAGTGTAGCCCTCATTTTTGTGCAGCCTTGCCCGCTACAAGGATTTAGGACAGGCTTGTCCAACCTTGGCCCTCCATGTAGCCCTCTGTGCAGCCTTGCCCGCTCCAAGGATTTAGGATGTCAGCTAAAGGAAGCATGACTCCACTTATAATGACTGAGCTGTGAGATGTCAGTGCAACAAAGAGAAGATCAAGAGGGGCTTTGGAGCTGGTAGCTAGTTGACCTCCCAGTTGCTCCCACTGAATTCAGTGACTGGGCTTGGGCTTTTTTTCTGTTTAAACAAAAGACAAGAATATTTCATGTTCCAAGGATTTAGGATGTCAGCTAAAGGAAGCATGACTCCACTTATAATGACTGAGCTGTGAGATGTCAGTGCAACAAAGAGAAGATCAAGAGGGGCTTTGGAGCTGGTAGCTAGTTGACCTCCCAGTTGCTCCCACTGAATTCAGTGACTGGGCTTGGGCTTTTTTTCTGTTTAAACAAAAGACAAGAATATTTCATGTTTTCTTATTGACTGCTAAAAGGAAGCATTCTGAAACAATAGTTGTATTTATGAAGGGGCTACACAAAAGTTTCAAAAATGTGTTTGTTTCTCTCTTGTGTGTAACTGCGAAGTCCTTTCTTTCACCCTCTGTCAAACTGGTTTATGAAAGGGCTACACAATAGTTTCAAAAATGTGTTTCTCTCTTGTGTGTAACTGCAAAGTCCTTTCTTTCACCCTCTGTCAAACTGCCTGAGAAATTTTTTATCCAATAACATTGGGAAGACTGTCTGCAGTCAATCATAACATCTGGGAAAGCAGCAGAAATTTTGAATCTATAAAAGGTCCAGGAAGTCACTGAGGAGTGCTCTTTGCTCAATTGTTCCTTATTGCCAGGATTACTGTATGCTGAGCTCCTGGCACCATCCATCTTCGATTGCTGATGCCTGCTTGCTATGGCCTTCATCGTGGATTCTTTCCTTTTTGCCATTATTTTTTTTTAAATGTATTTGGTTAATTTACGGTGTATTTATTCTGTTAAAAGTCTATATTTTGGTGGGTTTGGAGAGGACTTCTTTTCTAGGAGATTTTTTGTTTTTTGTTACGTGTTTGTGTGTATGTGTGTGTGAGGGTGGTGTAGTTTGTGATTGTGCTAGTGAGCTGTGTGGTGGTTGTTGCTGTTTATTGGGCACAACTTGAGGCATCTCTTGTTCTTGGTGTTGTGGGTTGCTTCAGTGAGTGGGTGTCCATGTGCCAGGCAACTAGTGCTCAGCTGCCTGTTTCTATGGTACTGCCTGGGCTCGGAGTGTCTCTGTTGGGCTGGGTGAGTGGCACCAAGCTAATGTTGTTTCCTCTTTTCTCCTTTATCGGTGTTTTACATCTTTTTGAATTGAAGGATCTTGTGTGACCTCTGACGGCGGTGTGTATTAGGGCGTAGATGCTGCTAGAGACTTTGTCTATAGACTAGAGCCTGCATAGTTCTTTTTTTTTTTAATGTACTGTCAGCAGCCTTTGGAATAGACTTGATTCTTGCTGTTGCCTTGCCTTTGCTTTTTAAAATAGCTTTTAAGGGTTCTGTAAGGCTTTTCTAGTGCTAGAAAATGTGAACGGCACTCGCTCTCCTTATCTCATTCACAGAATTTTACAGGGGGCCAGATCTTTCACTTCTAATCTTTTGGCCATGTTCTTTCATCCTCATTTTCTTCAATTCATAGCATATCCATTAAAGAGGAAAGAAAGACTGTCTTTTGATTGACAACATAGGAGCTCTCTGTCTTGAAGTATCCTTTGTACTTCAACTACAGTCTAGAACACAGTTGAGGATGTATTACCTTACACCAATGCTTCTCCCCCTGATATCCTATTTGAACCTCATTAGTTTTGCCCCTTTAATTGACAGCTTCTATGAAAAAAAATTATAATGTTGTGCCCTTGGGAGCAGGTTCTGGACTCTACTTTCAAGCACCGCAGATCAGAGCTTGAAAAAAGTTACTTTTTTGTCTGTATCTTCCAGAATTTACTGGCCAGCTTGGTCCCCAACCATGTTGGCTGGTGAATTCTGGGAGTTGTGATTGAAAAATCTTTTTGTAAATTGCGCAAACGTTTGTAAACTTTTGAAAAATTGTGACATGGTTGTATTGCCGGTGTGCATAGGAACATGCACGGGCACATACGTGTGTGTGTGTGCACGCGCTTTGCTCTGGCGCGTGCACACGCACACACACACACACACACACACAGTGCATGCGCTTTGCTCTGGCGCGTGCGCACACACACACACGCACGCACGCACGCACACACACACACACTGTCATGCTGGCTGCATTCTGAACCATAGAAGCCCTCCTGCAAATAGTCCTCCAACCCTAATAACAAAGGTCATTTTTGCTCACTCTGCTGCAGTTACTAAGATGGTATCCACCCAATCCCCAATGAGTCCACAAGATCATATGAAAAAGATGAGAAAAATTGTTAGCAATCAAAGCCGACCAGTTCTGGAATTGCTGCAGTAATCCCTTTCTTTGTCTGAAGACATCACCTAAGAACCAACACACCTATCTGTTTGAACTAGCATAACCAAAAAGGGGAATGAGTTTGCCTCCTTTGGAAACAAGCTCAGGCTATGTTATTGACCGTTTATATTTGCCTTTTCCATCAGCAATCTTTTATTCTTTCATCAGCAGTGAAGTGTCCCACTTTTTGACTGTTTGCGTTGCCACCACTAAGGGAAAGAAGCTGCCCTTCCTCGTTTCCTTTATCTCCTCCTGGAAAGAAGAGAGGCTGTGAATGTCCTGTGCTCCTTTGACTTTGTTGAGTGAAGCAGCATAATGCTGTCACTGGAAAGGACATGGGTTTGGTATAGAGTAGAAAGTAATACTTTGAGTAGACCCACTGAAATCAATGGGATTTCAGTTAAATATGTCTAACCTGGGCCAGCTGTACTGTTAGGCAAAGTGTAACAACAGTCTCCTGAAATGGCAAGATTTTGTGGAGTTAGCGAACAAGTCACAAGTTGTTATATAGCCCTGTCTGTTAAAACTAATGTGCCCTTCTCCAGTGCTGGTGTATAATCCAAAGCCCTGTCTGTGTTAAAACTAATGTGCCCTTCTCCAGTGCAGAAGGGAGCAGGGGCTCATAGTTAGTGTTGAGGTAAAATTAGACTGACTCATCCGGTCAGCGTCTGTACATGGAATGAAGTGATGCCTTCCCCTCCCCCCCTTCACATCAGGAGAAATGCCTTGACTGACTCAAATGCCATTGAATCAATTACTATTCTGAGCTCAACCTATTTTTTACTATGGATTTTTTGTTTGTCTGTTTGTTTGGTCTAAGAGGGCAGCAATTATTACTTTTGAATTGTTCCTCCCCACTCTTTCAAGGAGTGAATGAATGCCAACTCGTCCAGAAGTTTAAAAAACTACAAAATTCAGACCTGGCCCTATCATTCGACAGAATGAAGTAGTCACCTTAAGCAGCAGGTGCTGGGAAGTAACCATCAAGGGGCTTTGTGTCCAGTAGCCTGTCTTGTACTTCCAAAACTCGCTGCTCTCCTTGGTTGTGGCAGAGGATGATGTCTCATGGCTAGCACTGGAGAAAAAGCTCCAGTCCAGTCAGCTTTTGTGAATCGAGGCACCAGCTTATTCCTTGCACCTCAGGTAAAAAAATGTCTTCAGATGGATTTGGTCAAATTATTGCAAATTATTATTCCCTGCCCAGCCTTCCTCATTGTCCATTTGATCATGCCTTAATCAAAGCTTTAGAGAAAGCTGTAGCCGTGTCAGAAGACTTCATTTTATTATTCTCCTTTAAAACAAGACAAAGCAATGGCTATAAATTAAGAATTTAAAAAAGCTGCTAGGAAGGAGTGTCCAACACAGAATGGTTGGGTGGGATGGGATTATTTTGAGTTGAGCTAAATTGCCAAAAGATGAGGTTATGAAACCCAAAAAGGCAATGCTTTGTATCTTTCCTAAACCTTCATTCAGGTTGGGGAAGAGCAATTATCCATGATCTATTTGTATTTCCACCTCCTCTACACAACAGTGACAGCAATCCAGTTTTCAGTTAGAGCTGACCATATGATTTAATGAGTTCTGTGTACCTGCAACAGGAGACTAGCAGAAAGCTCATCCTCCTTATAAACTGACACTGCCCAGAATTCATTATGGCAGCCCGACAGATAGGAAGATAGGCCTTCTGAAATTTCACCAGAGGTGGCAGGACATGCCAGGAGAAGCAAAGGCGCAGGATGGAGAAACATAAGGTCATTCAGATGTTGTGCTGCAGTTCCCATCCTGTCAGCTTAACCAGGAAGTGGAGGATGATGGGACTTGCAATCCAAAAAACATGGAGGGTCATACATTCCACACCCGTCTCACTGTCCTAAACAAGTATAAGGCTTTTGGGTTTGTAGCATAGGGTATCGAGGCTGAAAGCATTGCTCCAGTAGCTGGGTTAGTTGTGGTGATGTATCAGAAACAGACTGTGGTGATGTTGTTCTATATGGGCATGATGATCTCTGACAGATAGTTTATTATTGTCATAAAAGTCATAATTGCCATAGTGGGGATTCTTTGGGAGAAATGACTGCAGACATGCCGGCATGAATAAGTCCTGCAGTGTAGCTTAAAAGCTGTTTCATACAGGTGTGCTTATCCCTTGATAACTGCAGTTATTAAGGGCCAACACCCATGTATGAATGAATGAGCCGTTATGAATGAAAGGTGACAGAATGAGATTTCCTAGAGGGTCAAATACAAATGCTTTCAATTTCATGATTCAACAGCAAGCCAGTAAGAGATGCAAAGTCGCATGAGATGAATAATCTCCTAGCTTGACTCCTCTGCTTGTTGTTGGACTGTAACACCGAACATCCCCAACTAGCATGGCCACTGATTGGGGATGATGGGAACTACACCATTTAAAGGAATCTTTTATGTACTGCTTTTCAGTTAAAGGATCCCAGAGTAGCTGTAGAACAACAATACTGTGGAGTCCAAGGCTGTGAAAGTATGAAAGATTTGAGCAGAGAAAGACCTATTAGGCAGGAACAAGCCTGAAATGTGATTGGGCTTTTGCTGATTCGAAGGCTGGGGAAACCTGGAGCAAAGAGGTGTTAGGTGCTGCCAAGGGCACTCAAGTCGTGGGAGTTGCTGTTAAGTCAGACTCAAGTCACATCAGTGACTCAACTTGGTCTTTCCCTCCTATGACTAAGCTTCGATTCACAACGTAGAATCCACTCACTCCCTCTCCCCACCCCCGGGGAAAGGAGTTTGTAATAGGGACTTGGGGCTTGATGCCAAAGACTTGGACTCAGACTTGGTGCTCAGACCCTAAGAGTTGCCAACCAGGTGATGCTTCAAGTATCTTTCACCCTGAGGTGGACTAGCTTACTAAAATGCCAGTTTTCTTCTTTACTCAGCAAGAAATGATCTCCCTGCTGGCTTTGAGAAACAGAGTTTTCTGATCCTCCCTGTGAAATCGCTTTTCATAATTAAAAACCTACTAGTGGCTGAAATCAGGTGGCAAAAAAGCAAATCAGGTGGGAGAAGAGCTGCTAAACCCTTTCCATTCCTTAGCATGTGTTCACTTGAAACCATCTCTAGTCCCAGCTGTTTTCCTAACCTGAGCACTTCCACCACCACCACCCTCAAGCAGGTGGAAGAAACTCATTCTTGGGGGGGGGGACATTTGTGAGAGGAAGAGGAAGAGGGGGGTACCTGTTGGTAGAAAGAATCATGGAATTGATTATCAGATGTAGTGTGACCCTTTACAAGTCAAGGTTACTTAACCCATCCACCCACCCACTCTTGGCCTCTCCATCAGGGGTGCTTCAGTGCTCATGCTGCTCAAAAAGGGTAGCAAATGTCCTGAAAGAAAAGAAAAAGAATCAGATGCCCAATGTTGATTCCTTTCTATTTAATTCTTATTTCTGTAATTATGGCTTTTGTTAAAATAGTTTGTGAATTTCCTGGTTCACTGGTACCCTATCCTTTCTCTTGAGGGATCCAGCTGGTGCACAAGGTATTCCCAGGCTATCTCCCTTAAAACATGTGCATGTTCTAGATACTGTATGCTTGTCTTGAGAAATCTTCCTTGGGTTTCTAATTCACAGGTAGGAAAAATTGAGAGGTAAGAGATTATAATTGATCCTAGTTCCTGCAGCAAACTCCTCCTGACTGATACAAGACATGAACTGAACACTCAAGACAATCCTTTAAGTCATTCAGTATTTCTCCTGGATCTGGCTAGCCTTCCTCCAGAAACTGCAACACGAGAACTGGGAAGGAGCAGCCAGGCTCTGCTTTTTTCCAAAACTAGATACTAAATTTTATAGGGATGGGGAAAATTACTTACTGAAATAAGGCTCCTGATAGTTCATCTACAATGCTCCCTGCAGAAGATAAAACAAATAAAATTGCTATGTTTAATGTATGTGCTTTTGACTCACCCTCGGCTAATATCTCCCCATTCTAAAATGCTTTACGAAGACACTTTGCTTTGCTTATTGCTAATTTGGATACACTACTCCTTAAGAAGAGCACAGGATGGCAAAAACAGAGATTTCTTTTTCTTCTGTTTTCTGAATTTAACACCTGGAGTAGAGAGATGGTGACTCACCCAAGGCACAACATGAACTTAATGGTTTGGCAGGAATTTGGACCCAGGTTGGTCCTCCTTGTCTACCATCATCACCACAATTAAAGTATAACATTGAGTCCCCTTAAACCAAGTGTGTGCAGTGCATAAGCCTCCCAAGGTTACTTAATCCAAGGCAGCATGTCTGACAGTGCTAGGAGCTGTCATTCGACAAGACCTGATGGAATGTACTGCCCATCTCTGCCCTGAACCATGACGGTAAACCAACTCACCTGGTGTACAGGCTGTCTCACAGACAGGGCAAATGTAACAGAAATGACAATACTGCAAGAGAAGAAAAGAAAAACAGGTGGGGTTTAAAAGGAGTTATTGCTAGGGCATTGTTGGTGTTTAAGATTCATGAAACAAGATTATCAAGTTTGTGTAGACAAAAGGAGGGATCTTGTAACACCCACCTGACAGCTTGCACAGTGATCACTGGTGTCTCCTTCTTTACAGGGGCACTTGGTTTCACATTCCTCGCAATGCTGGTGAGAAAGCAAAAAATGTCAAGACAATTTAGCTGGGGGGGGTGTGGGATGGGAGGAAAAGAAATTATTTCCCCTCACTCAAGTGTTTCTCACTAAAAAATACCCAACAGCATGATGAGAACATATAAAGCGGCCTTATCCTAAGTCAGATGGTTGGCCCATCTACCTCAGTTTGGTGCTTGCTCAGCTTGGTGGCCTCTAGAAGGGCTGATGGACTTGTAATCCAACACATCTGAAAGGCAGTAGGTCTAGAGAAGTCTCGTCTACACTGAGTGATGGTGGTTCTTCAGAAATGAGATGGCCCCATTCCACCAGCCCTTCTAGAAATGCAAAGGACTGGAACTTGAGACCCTGTGCATGTGAAGTAGGTGCTAATGCACTAAGTTATCACCTTTTCCAGACATAAGACCATCCCTTCATACCTAAACTTGGTATTTCTTTAAGTATACACAAATAATATTTCTTTGTTTGTTTTCATTTATATACCATCCCATTAGTGTTGCCACTCTCTGGGCAGTTCACAGTATAAAATAAAATCATGCACAAAACTACAGCCAGGTCAATAATCCACAGGTATTAATAGACTTCCCTGATCCTGAATTAATTCTTCTGATATCCTTGATCTTCAGCATTTTCCTTTTTTTTTACATTACCACCAGAAGATAGTGTGCTTTTCTACAGCTTTGCTCTGATTTTTTCCAGCGCACAATCATGTTAAAGAGTGCTGATCATGCACTTTGTGGTTGAGTGTCGTTTGATGACATTTTCTTTTGGGCATGTTTCTGCTGGTCACTCTCCACCTTTCCATTCTTTACTTCCACTCCTGCTTAGCTTTCTTGGTATATTGGCTGTTCCTGTGTTCTGCTTCTTCATTTTTATTTTTATTTTTTACTTTTCAATGTTGCCACTTTTACACTATACCAGGAAAGTGAAAGCTAAAATCATGATTAAAATTAGAAAGCATAGGGGGAACATGCAGATTTGAGAACAGTAGGTGGGTAAAACAAGAAGGGAAGGGGGCAGACAGCAAAGTAGGTGGGGAGAGGGTGGAGAAGACAGGCAAAAATAGAAGACAATTTGTGTTGAGAATGAGAACTAAAGAATCAAATTGGGATGTGCATAGATAGTGCATCAAATGTTCTCCCCCTGTGTGGATGCAAATACTGGAATGATCTTGTCAAACCAATAACTAAAAGTATCAGAACAATGTAGAGTAATGGTTCCCAACTTGGGTCCTCAGATGTACTTGGACAAACTCCTAGAAGCCTTCACCACTACCTTCTAATGTAACAAGAGAGGGTTCAGATACTTTGCCTTCACAGCAGTCCTTCACCAGCCTTCTCATCCACCTTAGTCTGTTCTCAGGATGGTTGATTCTAGTAGAATCATAGAATAGTGAAGCTGGAAGGAGCCTATAAGACCATCAAGTCCAATCCCCTGCTCAATGCAGGAATACAAATCAAAGGATATCTGCAAGGTGGTTGTCTACGTTTCTCTTGAATGCCTCCAGTGTTGGAGCACTCTCCACCTCTCAAAATAATTGGTTCCACTGTCTTACTGCTCTAACAGGAAGTTTTTCCTGATATTGAATCAAAACGTGGCTTCCTGTAACTTGAGCCCATTGTTGCGTGTCCTGCACTCTGGGATGATTGAGAACAGATCCTGCCCACCTCCTATGTATGACAGCCTTTCAAGTACTTAAAAAGTGTTATCATATCATATCACCCCTCTGTCTTCTTTTCTCAAGACTAAAAATGCCCAATTCTTTCAGTGTTTCCTCACAGGGCTTGGTTTCCAGCTCCCCTGATCATCCTTGTTGCCTTTTCTGAACTTAATTGTTCCAATTTGTCAGCATCCTTCTTAAAGTGTGGTGTCCAAAACTGGACACAGTGCTCAAGGTGAGGCCTAACCACTGCTGAATAGAAGGGAGACTAGCACCTCGTGGGATTTGGAAACTATACTTCTGTTAATGCAGCCTAAAATAGCATTTGCCTTTTTCGTAGCCACATCACTCTGTTGGCTCATATTCAGCTTGTGATCTACAACAATTCCAATACTTGCAGTATTGCTAAAACAGGTATCTCCCATCTTGTAACTGTGTGTTTGTGTTTTTTTTTCCTGAGGGGAAAAAATACAAATGCACTTTGCACTTTTCCCTCTTGAATTTCATTCTGTTGTTTTCAGCCCAATGCTCCAGCCTATCAAGATCATTTTGAATTTTGTTTCTGTCTTCCAGGGTATTAGCTAGTCCACTCAATTTTGTGTCATTCGCAAATTTGACAAGCATTCCCTGCACTCCCTCATGGAAGTCATTAATAAAAATGTTGAAGAGCACCGGACCCAGGACTGAGACTTGGGGTACCCCACTTGTTACCTCCTCCAAGTTGGAGAAGGAGCCATTAATCATCACCGTCTGAGTAGGATTCAATAGCCAATTGTATATCCACCTGACACTTGACTGTCTAACCCACACCTAGTTATCTTGCTAATAAGGATATCCTGGGACACTTTGTCAAAAGCTTTCCTGAAGGCAAAATTTATTATGTCTATGGCATTCCTTCTATCAGGGAGGTTACCCAATCAAAAATGAGATCAGATTAGTCTGGCAGGATTAATTCTTGACAAATCTGTGTTGGCTTCTAGTTATCACCACATTGTTTTCTAGGTACTTGCATAGTGACTGTTTTATAATTTGTTCCACAATTTTCCCTGGGATTGACATCAAGCTGACTGGCCTGTAGTTCCCTGTTTCCTCCTTATTGCCCTTTATTGACGATAGGAACGACATTAGCCCTCCCCCAATCATCTGGCACCTCACCCATTTCCCATGATTTCAAGAAAATAATGGACAGCAATTCTGAGTTCTTCAGCTAATTCCATCAGTACTCTCGGAGGCAATTCATCTGGCCCTGGAGAGTTGAATTCATCCAAGGTGGTAAGGTATCAGGCTTCTTAGAGGGACAAAGGACTGGAGATGAGTGAAAATTGCACTCCTGCAGTCTTTCTCCACCCGTTGTCATAGGTTGTTAATAGTGGTTTTTCTGGTGTGTGGTCCTGATCTTTCTGGGGGCACATGAAGATATCCTCCTTGTGGGGATAAAGTATCTTCTGAAGAAATATCCAGACAAGACTCCCTTACTTCAGAAGATACCTAATCCTCACTTGAATGTTGTGGGGATAAAGTACAAAAGAGGAGAACCATATAAGCTGCCTTGACTTAATTATAGTAAAGGTAGGATACAAATATAAGAAACAAATAAATTATGTCTACTTTGCCATTACATACTCTGTCATCAGAAGTGGAATTAAAGCAAGTTGAGGCCTTAAGGC